TTTTTTTTTTTTTTTTTTTTTTTTTTTTCCCTTCCTCCTTGCCGAGCATCAGCCCAATGCTCAGATTGAAACATCAGCGTGCGGGAAGGGGGAGGGACGTTTCTGCCACTCCTCAGCCCTGCCAGCCGCCGCGGGGACCAAAGCGATGCATCCCCGCCATCCCGGGGTCAGGAGCCGGCTGGGGGCCGCGGGGAGCAGCAAGCGGCAGCTCCCCGGCACAATCGGATTAGAGCAGACAAAGCGCCCTGAGCAATCTGCCAGCACAGCACGTAGCTTTTCTCTGTTATTAATTTTTTTTTCCTTTGCTGGTGTCGACAAAATCCCCAGGCAGAAAAAGAGGAAGAAATAAGAGAGGCAAGAAAAAAGAGAGGAATGAAATAGCTGTGGGGCTCAGAGAGGCTGGTTGGTCCCAGGCGTCCTGGTCCTGCTCGGCACAGGCAGGGATGGGGGTGTCCCCCCTGTAGAGGGGGTTCCACACCAGGGAGCAGCAAATCTGTGTATCGGCCCTGTGGAGCCGTGCCAGCGGCCGGTGCTGTAGGATTGTGGCCATTTGGGGCGACCAGGGGCTTGCGCCCGGTGTTTGCACCCGAGGGGGGAGAGGGGACGTGGGGCTGCTTCCTCCTGGGAGGGTGCGCGGGCCGAAGGAGGAGGGGAGGGGATGGGGCACAGGGTGGCCAGGTGTCCGCCCCACCGTGCCCGGAGCTGCCCCTTGGTGCCCCGACCCTTCTGGTGGGCTCAAGGCCGCCAGCGGGTGCAGGGTGCGGGGGGTCTCCCTCCCAGGCAGGTCCCACTGCTGAGGCTGCTCTTCCCTCTCCTGCGTAGAGCGATGCCCCGGCCGGCGTGCCCGCCGCCAAGCCCTGCACCTCCCCACCACCCTGCGACTCCCTCACGCCCGGGCCCGGGCCCAGCTCAGCCGCCCCATCCCAGCAGCCCCCTGGCAAGGCGCCCGCCACCGACACCATCAGTGAGTGGCTGGGGACGGTGGGGGGGTCGTGCTCTGCCGCAGATGGTGTCGCGGGGCTGGGGCCAGGGGAGGCAGGATACTACCTCCCGCAGCAGAGCCGGGGCCACCGTTCTGCCCTGCGTGACCAAAGGTGTTGGCTGGGGCCAGCATGTGCCTGTACGTGCAGTTACCCGCCTGCTGACACTTTCCCAGGGGCTTGGACCCGCTGGAGGTGGCATCGGTGCATGGAGCTCTTCGCTGCAGGTGCTTGGGGGGGAGCAGGTCTTTTGTCTGGAGATCATCATTTTTTCCTCTGATGAGTTGTCATTTTGCTGTTGCTATGTGAAGCTGCAGGCTCCAGGGCTTGGCTGCAGGGGTAGGAGGGGTGGCTGAGCGCCACCAGCAGCACACGGGGACGCGGCAGGCCGGGACGTGACGGGTCTCCCCGTGGGGCTGAGGATCTCCACAGGGGTGGGGGGCTGGGTGCGCCGGGTGCTGCGGAGACGCTGGGCGGGATCCAGCTGACCCAGGAGTCCCCGTCAATGGCCACCACCTTCTGAAAGCAAAGGGGAAGGGGGTGAGTGCTCAGTAGTGGCCTCTCTGGTGGCTGATGGTGAACTGGTTGTGCCCCATTTTCCTGCCTCCATTTCCTTGAAGACATTTAGGGGAGCCTTGGGTCTCTGGAACAGCTTGGCCACTGTCTCGCCAAAGGGGCCAGAAGGTGATGGGAGAGGGACAGCAAGCCCGTGGGAGAAATAGAGACGGGACTGGAGACATTAAACCCTTGTCTGGCTAGAAAATTACAGTGGTTTAGCAAAAATTGAATTGGAATCGATTTCAATAAGCCATTGAAACCCCGGAGGTAGAGCCACTTAGCCATCAGCTGCAAGTAACGTGCCCTGGCCAAGACTGAGGCGTTGGCAACCGAGCTGGGGTTTCTGCGGGTCGGTGGCTGCTCCGTGGTGCTGCCTGTGGAAGGACCGAGCCCTCTGCTCTCCTGTGCGGGCTCTGCATCCCAGCTCTGTGACTGACTGGGGGCTGCCCCTCTGGTCTTTGGCTCCCAGTCCGTGACCCGCCCGCCCTCCTCCGGAGCCTCTGGTTCACGCCAGGCTTGGCTGGGCCTGGTGCAGAGGTGACACCGCCACGTGCTGCCCAGCTTCTGCCGGGTGCCCTGTCCCCCGGGGTGACGCTTGCTCACGCCCGTCGGCCAGGGCCAGTGAGCAGGCCTCTCCCCGTGCAGCTCTCCGCAGTCCGCCGAGTGTGTCCAGCCCCTACACGTCCTCCTTCGGGATGGTGCCTCACGCCTCCCTCAATGGGGAGCTCCCGGCCCCCAGCATCTACATGGGCATCCACCTCTCGCCACAGGTCAGCAGCGCCGTGGTGTGCAGCCGGGCCCCGATGGTAAGTGTCTGGGGGCCAGGCCCGCCCGCCTGCAGGCCATGGCCCTGCCGGTGTCCCCCGCTGTCCTGTGCATGCGCCGTCCCTGATGGGTGTGTTGGTGATGAGCTCGGGCGGCGCCTGCAGCCGCACCAGGGGCTCCCTTCTGGAGGCGTCTGGTGGTGAGGCCAGTGGAGGCTGCAGAGCTCTTGGAGAAGCCCCCACTGGTCCTACTGGTGTGTGGCTCTGGCTTTGGGACCCCGTTTTGGCCTCTGTCACTTGCATGTGGAGGAAGCAGCAAGCAGGGATGTTGCAGAGAGCTGGGCTGGCCCCGTCCCAGGGCATGTGGGGACAGGCATGGACCCAGCCTTCATGTCCCCTCCTGGGGGGTTGCATGTCACTCATCCTGTGCCCTTTTGTTTTGTGCAGGTGGCTTTTGAGTCGCACCCTCACCTGAGGACTTGCACCATCTCCTCCTCACTCTCTGCCGTCCCTGGGGTGAAGCCGTAAGTGCGGCCACAGGCCGGGGCTGCAGGGGGGGTGGGCAGCGAGGGGCCAAGGCCAGAGCTCGGCGTGGGGGGAGGTCTCCTTCCCCACGGCTCCTTTCTGCACCCAGCAGGTGTAGGGCAGGGCCTGGCTGCACTTTCTCTCCACTTTTGAACCCAAGGCTGTCATTTGGTTCTGAGCAGCTGGTGGTAACAAGGAGCTGGTTAATTATATCCCTCATTAGCCCAGAGTGCACCAGACACCTTCCACCTGGCTCAAGCAGGGCTAATGGGAGAGGTCAGCTACTGCATGCAGGCGTCAGGCTGGGATTGTTCAGGCCTCTCCTGCTCCCTTCCAGCGCCTACTCCTTCCATGTCAGCGCTGACGGGCAGATGCAGCCGGTGCCGTTCCCCCCGGATGCCCTCATCGGCTCCGGCATCCCCCGCCACGCTCGGCAGCTCCACACCCTGACCCATGGCGAGGTGGTCTGCGCTGTCACCATCAGCAACTCCACGCGACACGTCTACACAGGGGGCAAGGGCTGCGTGAAGGTGTGGGACGTGGGGCAGCCAGGCACCAAGTCGGCCGTGGCTCAGCTGGACTGCTTGGTAAGGAGGGGCCCCACCGTGCCAGCACCGCTCGCTTCCCTGCGCTGGGCCACTGAGTCTGGGCTCCCCACCAGTGGGCTCAGGGGTGCAGCAGGAGCCTGAAGTGGTGATATGCTCCGGGGAGAGTCACTGTGTGCTTCTCAGCGGGGGAGGGACGGTGGCTGCCCGCTGCCCTGCGCTGCCCCTCTGCTCTGAGAGCCCAAAGGTGTTGGGAGGCTTTACACCCCGCCTTGGCACTGCTCTGTCCGGCAGCACCTGCCCTAAGACAGACCTTTGCTAGTGTCAGACCCCCCAGCCCGAGACCGCGTCCAGGCCAGGATTAGACGGGCTGGAGCATCGTTCAGATTCAGCTCTGTCCTTTCTGCTTTTGCTTGTGTGAGTCTGGCTGGAGGGAGAAGTCCTATTTCTTTTAAAAATAAATTAACTGGACTGTCAGACCACAGCAACTCGGCAGAGCCATGCTGGAGGCACGGCTATCACCTGAGAGTATTTTTAACCTGTGTTCTTTGAGGTTTATTTAAAACGTGCTGCTGGAATTGGAGTCCCTGTGCCTGCTTTGAACAGCCCAAACCCAAGTCCTTTCCTCGACTTGCTGGCCTCGGGGTCTGGGCAGCCTGACAAATATTATTCTTGGACGGTGCTGACCTTGAAGATACAGATGCATAAACAAGGAAATGACTGAGTCATGATAATTTCAAGCTGCATCAGAAATTCGGGAGCTGGGGAAAATGGTGTCTTAGTGCTCGGAGCCACGGGCTGTTTCAGCTTGTTGGAGCTGCCTCCCAGCTGCCCCTCGTCACGGGCTGTGTCTGCCAGGCGGCTGCTGCAGGGACGCTGTGGGGCGAGGGGGTCCCCGAGGCCGTTCATGGGGCAGGAATAGAGTGAGGGGGGCTCTGGCAGGGGCTGGCTAGGGTGGCTGCTCTGGGCAGGGGATGGGGTGTCCCGGGAGAGGGGCAGGGGTCTGCCCTGCTCTGCTGCTCCTGCCCTCAGGATGAGCTGCTGGCGTGACCAGGCAGTCTGGGGTGGGAGCAGCAGGGCTGGAGGGGAAGGGGTTAATGGGGTCCTCCCTCCTTCACCCCAGAACCGCGACAACTACATCCGCTCCTGCAAGCTGCTGCCTGACGGCCGCAGCCTGATCGTGGGGGGGGAGGCCAGCACCCTCTCCATCTGGGACCTGGCGGCCCCCACGCCCCGCATCAAGGCTGAGCTCACCTCCTCTGCCCCCGCCTGCTACGCCCTGGCCATCAGCCCTGACGCCAAAGTCTGCTTCTCCTGCTGCAGCGACGGCAACATCGTGGTGTGGGACCTGCAGAACCAGACCCTGGTGAGGTGAGCCGGGGCGAGGGCACGGGGCAGGGACACGGCAGGGTGCTGGCTCCTGGGGCGCTGGCAGCCCTGACGGCCGTGCCCTCGCCCTCCCTTTCCCATCCTTCCCAGGCAGTTTCAAGGCCACACAGACGGTGCCAGCTGCATCGACATCTCTAACTATGGCACCAAGCTGTGGACAGGGGGACTGGACAACACGGTGCGGTGCTGGGACCTGCGGGAAGGGCGTCAGCTGCAGCAGCACGACTTCAGCTCCCAGGTAGGCTCAGGGCTGGCCTGGAGCAGCGCGGGGCCGGCTGGGACCTTCCCTGCCGCTGCCTGAGTCCGTCTGTCCCCAGATCTTCTCCCTGGGGTACTGCCCGACGGGAGAGTGGCTGGCAGTGGGCATGGAGAGCAGCAACGTGGAGATCCTGCACGTCACCAAACCGGACAAGTACCAGCTGCACCTCCACGAGAGCTGCGTCCTCTCCCTCAAATTCGCCTCCTGCGGTAGGCGAGCGCCTGCTCAGGCTCTGTACAGCCCCTGACAGGGCCTTTCGGTGTCCCCTCCCCACGCCCAGCTCCCCAAATGATGACACACTCTGTCTCCTGCCCCAGGGAAGTGGTTCGTGAGCACGGGGAAGGACAACTTGCTGAATGCCTGGCGGACGCCCTACGGCGCCAGCATCTTCCAGGTGGGGGGCGGCTGTGGAGGGGGCGATGGCGGCGGCTTCAGCTGCCAGCGCCGCCCTCACCCCCCACTTCTCTCCTGTTCAGTCTAAAGAGTCCTCGTCAGTGCTGAGCTGTGATATCTCCATCAACGACAAATTCATCGTTACAGGCTCTGGCGACAAGAAGGCCACAGTCTACGAGGTGGCTTACTGAGGTCCTGGCCACCACCATCCCTTGCCATCCGGGCAGGGGCTGGGGCTGGTGGAGGCCTCTGGTGCTGAGCCAGCCCTGCTCTCCCTCCTCTGCCAGAACAAGGCCAGGCCCTGGTTCCTGCCCAGTGCGGGGCAGGGGGGCACAGGGCAGCCTTGGTCGTGGCCGTCGGCGAGGGCTGGTCTGGGCCCCCTGGGGCCTGTCAGTCGGGGCGGGGGGCCAGGAGTGGCTGCAGTGACAGTGTTGCTCCTGAAATACTGCTACTGATTTAATGGCACCCGTTTTCTGCTGCAGAAACAGCTGTAAATTATCAGTAAAGTGTATTTAACTGTGTTTTCAATCCCTTACTAATAAAAAGGAACAAAAGAGGGGCTGGTCTGGTGGTGGGCCTGGGGCTGATGGAAACGGGTCCTGGGGGAGGTACCGCCAGCCCCTATCCCTTGAAAGGGCACCACGGCGCAGGGGCTCAGCCCCTCCACAGAGGCAGTTGGGGTGCAGAGCCCTGGGGGGCACAGAAGCTGCAACGGCCGGGAGGTGACATGGAGCTGGGGGTGCCAGGAGAGGCCCCGCAGCGCTGGAGGGGCCTTTCCCACTGCGGGGAGCGGCTCCTGCCCTGGCTTGGGGCGCTGGGCCTTGTGGCAGCAGCACATGGCAGCCGCAGCACCCCGCGTCCCCGCCGCGGCCTCCCGCGCTCCGAGGCGCTCGCACCAGCCCCGCTTCCCCCACAGCGGCTTTGGCAGGAAGCCAGACCGATAAGCCAGCGCCGACTGCTCACATCTCATTTCCTTCAAAAACCGCTTCCTCCAGCGCTGGCCTCTCCCCCACAGCCTGCCAAGGCTGCTCAGGGATGGCTCCGACAGCAGCCGCCACCACCCGTCCTCGCCCTCGGCGTGTCCCACACCGCACAGGGACACCGCGGGGCTGAGCGGGCAGCTGCCTGCGGGGGGGAAGAGCAAACCTGCCCTGAGCCAGGAAAGGAGGTGACAAACCGCCCCCAGCTCACCCCATCCCCCAGCCACAGAGCACCAAGCCACCACTGTGCTTTTTTTTTTGTTTTATTATTAAATACACCCTAGGACGCATAGAGGGAGATGAGGACAGAGCACATCCTCCTTGGCCTGGCCCAGAGCGTTAACAAAAACCCCCAAAAAAACAAAAACACAGCAAAAAGTTAAAAACAAAAAAAGAAAATCTTCAAACCGCCCCCCCCAAAAAAAACTAACGCCACCAGACACCTTCCCCAGCCACCCCCACCCCCAGTCCAGATTTAGAAACAAACCAACAAATAAAGACCAAAACAAGGAGAAAATCCCCAGGAAATTCACTGCGAGCAGCAGCTGCCACGGCCCAGCCCAGCGTGACACCTGGCCGTGGTCCCAGGGCCACCTCCGCCCCTCGCCGCTCGCCTCCAGCGCGGTGCCCCCGCCGTGGGCTGCACGCTCTTTGGGAAGTCAGCAGCAGGGCCGGCAGAGTCCATCCGCCCATCCGCAGGGCAGGGGCCCTCCCGCAGTTGGCACCTCTCTCACCCTCAGTAAATGACCTCGTAAACCGTTGCTTTCTTGTCCCCTGAGCCAGTGACGATGAACTGGTCATCCGTGGAGACGTCGCAGCTGAGGACGGAGGAGGTTTCCTTCGACTGGAGGGAGGAGGGCGGGGGTGAGCGCAGGAACCAGCGCAGAGC